GCATGAAGCAGTTCCAGCCTCCCCGACAGAGATTCGAGAGTTTAAGTGGGACTAGTTCCATCGCCTAGTGGTTAAGGGAGCCGGATCCCGCATGGCTGACATTGGGTTTGATTCCTGGCTGCTTGAAAAATATACTAGGCATGTGTGTCCAGCATCCTGATAGGAAGGGAGAGGGGAGGGAAAAGGATTGCGGTGTGACATGCCCCCTTCGGGGTACTTTGCCCCTTCCGTTCTGTGTGTCTCTGGTGAGTGCATGTGCTTCCTGGCTAGTAAACCTTTTAAAGTGTTCTGAGAGCCGAATGTCTTCCACGGGAGTGGGAAAGAAGGCAGCACCGAGGTGTGAGGTCAGTCTGTCCCGTCCCAGCATGGCCGAGCCAGGATATATGTGGGTTCTCTTCAATTCGCTGGGTTCTGTTCACCCCTTCTCACTTTGACAGTAGGAGGGGAAGTTGCTGGGCCACACGGATCCCACAGGTGGGACTGGGGCCATTTCTGACTCACTTCTCCATAGCCTTTGTGGTGGGGACCTGCTGTCTAGGTGCTTACATGACTGAAGGAGTCTGGTGTAGGACCGGTAAGCAGCAGCTTCTACCATGCGCTCTGAGTCTACCTCTGCCTCTCTTCTAGCTCCTTCCCGAAGGGTCCTAGCCTCTCTGCCATCTTCATGAGTTCCAGATTTTTTTTTTTTTGGAGAGGTTTTTGATATAGGGCACATGCTCTCGCCAGAAAGACAGAGAGAGAGTGAGAAATCACCCCCCAGGGGGGATGACCACGCCGCAATCCGTTCTCCATTCTCTCAGGATCTTGGGCACGCACGCACAGGTGCCTGGCAGCCATCGGGTCCAGGACTTGAACCACAATCAACTACATGGGAGTCCAGTGACATAGCCATTATGCCAACTGCTGGTCCCGTGAGTTCTAGATTTAAAAGTCCCCTGCTCCTTACTTAGGAAGCTGTTCTTCTCCTAGCACCCTATTGCCTCTGCTCTGAAACCTTTCGCTTCTTTCTTTCACATCAAAACTGCCTCATTTATCTGCCGGGCAATCCAGAGATGCCCTGTTCTGGGAATCCTTGTCTTCCCAGATGCCCTTTTATTCTTAGTGCCCTTGGTGCTTCCCTCCTAGGCCACCCTTTGGCTTGTGTGTTAGACATGCCCACTCGAGAGGTTTCCCAAGGAGGCAGTGCCCTCAGTGTGTTAGTGCTGTTGTGAGTCCTGGGTTGGATTCCCACTCTGGGCTTGACCTCTAGGCTCAGTGTCCCCCCAGGCCATTTTGTGGCCTCCACAGGAGTGAAGAAAGGTGAAGGGTCCCGCAGTGGGGCTGACGAGCATGCCGGGCCTTGCTGGGGTGGAGGCCATCCTGGCCTGCGATGTACCTGCATGGTCTAGGAGGGCAGACCTGGGAAGGAACGCAGCGGGTGGAAGAGTGTGTTCAGACCAGAGTTGGGTGCTCTTGGTCTGGGCCCTTTGTGTCCGCCTCAGTCTCCTGCTTTATAAAGTGAGTGAGCGACTAGCTCCCAGGCCTGTCAGGACTAAATGGACTGATGATTGTGAAAGGACTTTGTGCTCAGGGAGGAGATTTCATCATGCTGCCAACGTGATCACGCCTTGGCCCGCTAACGAGCGAGAGCCTGAAGGGGCTGCCCAGGAGAAGCCACAGTCCCGGGGCTGCCTGGAGACACCTGGTAAGAGCTGGATGTATCCCCAACCATCCAGGATGTAGGGTCCTGCTAGGTGACAGGGCTTCTTGGGAACCTCTTAGGCCCATTCCCTGTTCTTCATGTCCTCTCCCTGAAGCAAGCCCAGAAGGTCCTTCCCATTATCCCCTGGGCTATTCTCATGGACTGAGTTAAGAGGCAAGGGAGGGAGCAAGGATAGAGGGGCTTGGCTATGAAAGTGTGCTCTGAGGTTTCCACTTCCCGGCCATTGCATTAATAGCCAAACACCTGGACTCCTTTCACTCAGGCCTGGCGTGTGCACCGAGGCGACAGTGCGGGTCAAAGTAGACGCTGTGTCTGCCCTTGTGTTAGCTGTCAGCTAGAGAAGAACAAGCATCAGTCGCTGTGTCGTGAGTGCTGTAAGCTGAAAACGCATTTCATGTTAGCTGTATTCTAGTAACAGCTAACACTTAGCCAGGGCTTACTAGAGACCCAGCACTCACTGTTCTGTGTCCACCCCAACCCGAAAGGTAGTTAATGTTACTATCTCCCTTTTACAGGTTGGGAAGCAGAAGCATGGAGAGCATAGCACATTGTCTAAGTTCTGAGAGCTTGAGGACCAGTGGGAGCTGGGGTTTGAATTAAAGCATGGTCTGGCTCCAGACTCTCTGTTCTTTATCATGGATTCCCTGCTACTATTGAAAACAAGATGAAAGTAAGAAAAGGTAAGAAGAAAAACTATCCAAAGGTTCTCGACATTCGGGTATAGCCTCTGTTTAAATTTATTTTATTATGAATTTGGGATCAGCAGGTGGCGTGGTGGTTAAGGTGCTGGATACTCCCACATGGTCAACCACAGTTCAAGTCCCGGACCTGGTGGCTTGCTTTCTCACTTTTCTTCTCTCTCTCTCTCTGTCCCTCTCTCTGGCCAAATTAAAATAAATGAATGAATAAATAAAATTAAATAATTTAAAAATATTTTATTATGAATATAGCACAGCACATTATAAAAACTACATCAAACTGAAAAATGACATCGGACAAATGTGTAGTTCAACAAATTATTAGAAAGCAAATACTCGTGTAGCTACTGAGCAGGTAGAGAAAAAGAACTTTCCCTGTGACCCGTCCCCCTCCCCAGTCACTACTCTTATACTCCCCACAGGGAACTATTATTTGACATGTATGGCAATTGTTTCCTTTTCTTTTTAGATTTATCATCTAAGTACACATCCCTAAACACTGTCATTGGAAATTTGGGTAAGTTGAAGCACAGTATGCAATGTATACTTTTGTGGCTGGCTTTTTGTTTTTTTTTTGTTTTGCTTTAGGGTACATGTGCTTGTGTGTGTGTGTGTGTGTGTGTGTGTGTGTGAGAGAGAGAGAGAGAGAGAGAGAGAGAGAGAGAGAGAAAAGAGAGAAATCCCACCCCCGGGGCGATGGTCATGCCACAATCCCTTCTCTACCCCACTCAGCATTCTGGGCATGCATGCACAGGGACTCAGTGTTAATTTTGAGCTGTTGATCTGGGACTCGAACCATGCAGTCAGCCTTGTGAGATCCAGTCACCTTATCCTCTGCTGGCTCCTGGGGCAGACTTCTGTCATTCAGCATTTTGATTGTGAGATTTGTCATGTTAGTTCAGTGTGTGACTTTGGTTCATTCACTTTCATTACTCGTGTCCTGTTGTAAAAATATACTGCAATGTACTCATCTGCTGTTGATGGGATCTTGTTCTCATCTCAAACTACGATGGATGATGCTTTTAAGGGTTCTCTCACACATGTCTCTTATTGCGGGCAGGAGTGTTTGCACTCTGGCGGACACACACTTGGGAGTTGAGCTGCTGAATAGCTGAGGCCCGACAGTTTGCTCAGGTGATGGACCAGCTGGTATTCCTTCTAGCACGTGCAAGGTCCAGTTGTGTTACATCCTTGCTAAGCTTGGCATTGCGAGTGTTCTTCTCAGTTGTTCTGTGGGTGGGTAGTAGTGTCTCAGTACGGCTTGGCTTTGCCTTCCCTTGACAATCACATGGT